TAATGAGCGCCTGCGCGCGGGGGGGGGGAGCCTTGTGCCCCAGTGCTGCCATTTCCCGCCCTGCTCCTCCCCAGGCCCCTCTTTGAGCTAAGAAGCTCTGGGATCCGGGCCAGCGATGCCATGTGTACAGCATTTATCATATTTGTACGATAATTGTAACCCTTGCACATTATATGATAGATAATACTAAAAGTGTTCAAAATGTACAATCGTTTTGAGGGTTGTTGGTTGTAGCTGTGTTGGTCTTGGGATGCAAGCAGACAAGGTCCTTTGGGTAGATGTGATATCTGTTATTAAGCCAACTAAATAGCTGGGGGAAAAATTGTTCTTTGAAAGCTTTTGGGCACAAACGCCCTCCTTCAGCCCGAAGAAGGGTGTTTGTGCCCAAAAGCTTGCAAAGAACAATTTTTTTTTCCAATTATTTAGTTGGCCTAATAACAGATGTAATGTCTACCCAAAGAACCTTGTCTGCTAATATTTTTTGAGGCAGTTAATTGCCGCAGCAAATGCAAAGGGAGTCTTAACTGGCTTCTGGGGTTGCTGTCAGCACTTTTTTATGACTGCTTGCCTCAAAATAAATGTCTCAACTTTGCCCCAGCTCTCCCTCGCTCACTGGAGTCTTACAATGAGCAATATAAAGTAAGACGACTTATTTGCATACCTTTTTTTTTCAGTGTACAATAGTTTTTCAGCAAATATGATAATTTGAGCTTCCAATATAATGATTTCATATGTAAGACCTGGCAATGCTGGTCCAGGGCTGGCTGTGGCAGCACCTGGCTGGTTCCTGAAGAAAAGCCCTGGTGACTGAGTGAGGCCATAAGGAACAGAGATCCTTCCTCCTTGTGCTTCTCAGGCCCGAGGCTCGTTGCAGGATGGCCCCTGGGAGACATTGCATCTATGGCACAGTTGCTGGGATAATGGTGCCACAAATGGCCAACATGCCATGGCATCTGCCAGGAACCGGCAAACCAACCACAAAGATGTGCCGTGCCGCACATCATGCGCAGTCTCTGTGGCTAGTTTACAGGGTGTTAGAAATGGCACATAGGGCATGTCCCTGACCCAGGGCTGCCCCATCCCAGTGCTGGCAATCAGCTGATTCTCAGTCTTGGGACTTGGGGGACCTGGAACCTGGCTGGGGGCTGCGCAGTCCTGACACTGACAATGGGGTGCTGGGCACATGGGTTGCAAGGGAGATCCCTCTCCTACCCTGCTGATGGGGACCTTGCAATCTATGTACCTGGCATCTTAAGGAAACCTGACACATTTGCTGCATAGGAATTGCAGGGCAAGGCAGTTATAGTGTTGGTCGCTAAAGCTCCAGGGGATCAGATCCCATGAGACATAATTTTAACATCTGTCAGGGGCCACTGAAGCAAATTGCTACAGATGCCATCAGTATGGAGGCAAGTATTCTGCTTGGAGGCTGCGGGTCCCACCATAATGCATCCAGCTGCCTGCCTCCTGATGGGCTGTTGCCCCCTGGGACCTCTTTGTTCCCTATGATCCTTCAAATTGAAAAGGCTCATTGCATGCTTGGAGTGCAAGGCCTCAGCCCACAATATTGTACTTTTTGTACTGGAATCTGTAGTTTGTGACAGTCATGAAAGGGGTGATGACTGGAGTCTTTCCTTGCATCATCCTTAGGATGAGAGGAAAGAGCACAATATTAGCCACATGTGAAATATGGTAATTGGACTTTTCTTTCCGTCTCATTCATCACTACACTTGATGCTCTAGGAAGAAGAGAAAATAGGCCTCCTTTTAATAATCATTAGGGAAATTAATACAAATACATACTCCTGCTGTATACAACTTTTGTAAATTTAGGACAACTGTACCCTTCAATCTAACTCGCAACAATTCAAAAAAAGGTTGGAATTAAACAGTATAAATCAGTCTTAATAGATTTGGGAGGTGGGGGGGGGAGATAAGAGGACTTCAGTTTAAATTCTGTTGTTTGACCAGCCCACATGAGGCTAATGCTTCAATCCTGCAAATGCATAATGGCTGCTTACAGGTGTTAAAAACAAACAAACACATCGCACTTTACCGGAAGAATCAGTTCATTAGTTCAACCTGGCTCCTCAGCATCTGTATAGATCTGGCACTTCAGCAGGGCTTTTTGGTGCTTGTATCTAAAGCCGATTCATCTATTAGATAAAAGTGTGGAAAAAGTCCCACAAAAGCACCTGATCTATATGGACGGGTGAGCTAGGTCCAACTAATGCAGTGCCTTTTCTGAGCATACGCTGAGCTTGGTGCAGAAGCACACAGAGTATAAAGTGTGGGTTTGTTTGTTTGTTTGTTTGTTTTATATCTGGGAGCACCAAAATGTTTAGCTTTAACAAGTCAGGAGAGTTTCTACAGTTAATGAAGCAATTCCTGTAGACACTTCATTTTAAACATGGGTATTATACATATGATCCATGGGGTTTTTGAAGGGGTTGTGAATTCAGGGTCAGGGTGAGCATGGGTAGAGCCTGCTGCCAAAACCTGGGGTATACAGCCCCTTCAGGGGAGTGTGTTGACTGCAGAGAGGATGGGCGAGGTCTGTGTTTGCTGCTGCTGCTTACCCTGCTGTTGTCACTTGCCCCACTGCCATGTCTAGATCCAGCTCACAGGAATGTCTCCACAGGACCAAGTGAATTTACCCTACTGGCCTACATAAATATGCAGGATCAAAGTTTTACTTGAAAAAATGTACTTATTTTTATTATGTTATATGTTTCTAGAGCAATAGTTTCCTTTAATAAAAAACAAATTAATTTTCCCTAAAAGTTTTAATTTTAGGCTACTAGATGCTTGTTCACAGCCAGCCCTATTTCACTGATTAGGGAGAAGAAGTAACAGTTTTGACCAATGACTGCTTCAGGAATGGTGGCTGCTCTCCATCTACCACCTCTGCCAACTATTGGAGAGATTATTAAACTCTTTCGCCTTCGGGCAAACAAGCAGCTCTCTCAGAATTTTCTGCTGGATTTGAAATTAGCAGGTGGGGAATTTTCTCTTGTGTTAAATGTTTAGTCCTAAACTGCCCTATAGTTGTCATCACAGACCAGTCTTTGCCTGTGTTATGTTTGTATGGGGACATTTAATCTCTCTCTCTCAACAGCACCCTGGTAAATATTTTAAGAACTTGTTAAAAAATATTTTTTAAACAAGGTAATGGACTTGTAAATTCTTTGTATGCAGAATAAATGCTTTGATTTGGGGCGGAAAGGGGAAGAAACTATGTATCCATACATAATGAATAAATTGAATTCAGCTCAAAGTTAAGTGTGGAGCTGTGACCAGACCCTCCATAATACTAGCTGTATTTGGGGCTGGACTCCAGCCCAGCCCAACTATTATTACCTTGCCTGCCCCAGACTAACTATTAGGCATGTTAGCGGATCTATCTATCATTATAATTATGTTTCACCTCGTTCAAGTCCTGAAAATGCATTAATACACTGATTTTTGTAACACATTGTGATTTTACCCTGACGAATGAATCACAAAAAGCAGTAAGTGGTAGAACAGTTTTTAAAGGAGTTGAACAGAGTAGAGTAGGAAAGTCTGTGTACCTGAAAGGAGGAATATAATCTCGCTTTAAAATTATCATAAAGTCTAGAGGGAGGCAAGTAATCAGATAACTTACTATTAAGGCAAACATGGGTGTTAACATGAAGGCATTTTATTTTTCCATGCAGGGGAGACAGTACTGTGTTTTCATTTACAGTTTACCTGACAGCGTAGTTTTAATAGGAAGATGGTCTATACCAGTTTGTAAATGTCCTGGTGTTCTGAGCCCGTTTATTACCCTGGTTAGATTGTACTGTTTCTAGCTTCATCTCAGTCTTGGGTCAGGTGGCCATGGTTGCTGGTTCCAGTTTGTATGTATGCTTCCCACCTCCCCCTGCAGAAGTGGTGATAATTTTCTACGGTTGCATAAAGCAGGTGTGAAAATGTTAAGGGCTTGTTTACATCTGAAAATAGAGCATTTTAAGGGAGGGTGTGAATTAAAAATGAAGTAGCTCTTTAAATAACTATCTGGAATAAGAATGTCAACATATATTGTTAATCAGTAACAGCTGCATTGGTAAACAAGCCCTAAAAATCTGATGGTTTTTTATCACCTGCATAATCTCTCTCCTGCTTGTGACTTCTCCATTTAGTGAGTTAACTGTAACCTTGTTAACCCTTCAAGTCCTTTTATAGCATCTAATGAAGTAAACTCTTGTTTACAAAAGTTTTTGCCTGTCTGAATTAGTCTGACTCCTGTTCCTAGTGGCCATCAGTCCCTTCTGCCCTAACTCTTCCAGGCCTCTGTTGTCCCTTAGAGTTCTCTGAAGTCAAAGCTTTCTGGATATCTTCCCTGGCTACTCACCTCTCAGTCCTTTTCCCTTAAATTTTGTTGGAACAGGCTCAGTTTAATGAAGT